ATATATAATCATGCACTTTGCAGAATGTGTATAAAGCGCTAAAACAATTCACCGGTAACGTCGAAACTCCTATGCGAGACCTTTTGTTGGCACTTATAAAATAATATGAAAACATCAAGTTAATTTAAATTTTGTCAAATAAGAAATACGGAAGGTAAAATTTCGAAGAAACTGATATCCGCAAATTCGTATGGATTAACCCGATAATAGCATTAGTGACTAATAAATAATTTGCAGTACACCAACAGCGAACGAATTTCACTCAAACTGAACAGATTGGACGGAATAAATCACACCGTGGATGTGCGGGAATCGCTCAGTCCAATTTATTAAATGCAGGGATCCGGTCTAAGGATGTTAGAGCCCGAACGCTCTTTACGGAAGAGGGGATAGCGATTAGAATGAACAAACTCCCACTATGTACACACAAGCAGTTCGTTAAATTCCTTTCCCTCTTGTAATCATGTGTCCGAAGTGCTCCCACCTAACATTTCAGTCGAAAATTCACCCTCCGCAAGGGATTATTACCAATTATGCGGTCAGTATTGGAGCATGCCCCTCCAAAACCCTCACCTCACATTTTATACGTATTAATATCCTGGTTTGAATGTCTCCTCGTGTTATTTTCCTCAGTTTCAAAATGTCCTGTGATTGGCCGGTAGATAAAGCATTGAAGGCAAAGCCACATCTTCGTTTTTTAGTGAAATTTACTCACCGCTTTAATCAGAGTGCTGGATTGTCTTCAACCACTTTCAAAAACTATGATCCATATTTATAAAGCAATTCATGTAAATTTTACCAATCTATGATGCACCGGATTCTTTCAAATGTTTAGTTTCTCGACACGAAAAGAACTGAACTTTGGTTGCCATTCCTATATCTCGACAAATCACGCAAATCATAGTAGTCATGTTGTGCAAATTTCCAACCGAGTCATAACCCCAGAGGCTAGTGCTGAGATGAGCGAGGCCCGTGGCCCACAACAAGCTCGCAAAGATAGGCTCTGGTTTATCATGTGAATGAAGAATAAAAAACGGTCTGAACAGCTGCCCAGTGACCGAGTGGGTAGCACGGTTGCGTTCTGGTTGTGAGGTCCCGCGTTCGATCCCCAGTTGGGTTGATGGATTTGCACCGCAGCTGACGAGACCCAACCAGGACGAAACAGCTGTTCAGTTCACGCTTCATTTGCTCTATACACGACGAATCCCCCTAAGGAAATTGAATTAAATCCTCTATTACTCTCATATAACATTGTATTTGTGCACTGATGGAATGCTATCCTGGAGAACAGAAATCAGTGCTGGCATCAAGCAACAACATGAAAGAGGAAAACAGCACGGAAAATGTCCAACTTTTGGTCTCGAATGATCAATATTGAGAAAAATTATCAATGAGAACTGGCAATTGTTGGAATACTACTGATTCACAAATATAGTATACACCTCTCCCGCATTCGTGTCCCCAGATGAGTGATGCGACGATGTTACCCATACTGAGAAATTCCGGAATGCCTTGTCACATTTGACGGCACGGAATCCTGGGATCATGCTGTTTTACTGAACTTGGGAGCGATTTGTCTTTCTTTTTTGTAGTCGAATGCACATGTACATCTTGTTGTATAGCTTCAGAAGCTTCAATTCTCGCTTGTTGTTGAAAACGGCTTTAAGCTAAGAAACTTTGATTTTAACAACCATTATAGGGGAAATACGTTTTGTCTACGTAGATATTACCTCTTCTTAAAAATTGGCTGATAAAGGAACAAATATTTCCTTCATTTAACGGAAATTTTCGACCGATCAAAAAGAAATTGAGGTTTATGCCAAGCGAGATTTTTACGATCGGGAAAAAATTCTCCGAAAGTAACGGCAACGTTTGCAACTGCACCAAAAACCAACTATCGTTAACTCATGAGAACAGTTACTTCAACCAACCCGAAGCTATTCGATATGTATCTAAGGTCATCTTTCAGTGCTTTCCTGGCCAGTTGTGGCGATGTGAATCACACGTTAGCAGTGGACTGCCGTGGAGAGCGTTGATCGATCGACAAAACACAAACGCTAAACAATCCCATTGATGCGTAGAATTGTAAATTGCGTGGGAATTTCGCAACGTGCGAACGGCCCACATTCCTTCTGAGATAGAACCTAACGAGTTGTTCAGTGCCTAATCGATGATGCTAATTTTAAGTGCACCCACGAACTGAACAAACAGAACATCCGCGCGGTGTAACAGATGTCAATGATTGAATAAAAGCCAAAAAAAGTAAAATGAAAAAAAACTTCGAACTGGTTTACAGCCAAGATTAAAAACTACCAAAGGAACTGAAATACAAAAATCCGATGTCCCATAAAACTTGTCTGTCTTTGCTGGGCTGTATGCTCGAATCACTGCACAGTTATGAGTTATGACGATTTATTTCCTACTCACTGTGGGTTTGATAGTTCAAAGCATTTAGTTAAACATTCATCATAACATTTCCCAAAGAATTCAGTAAGCTAATTTCGTTAGAAATTCGTTTAACTCTAAGGTACCCAACAAAGAACAACATAAAATTCTGAAGAATAATTTGGCGCTCAAATTCCCTATCACTGTTGGAAAAGTCCCAAAGTAAACAAAATAGAATGGCGAAGAAGCTTGTTTTCCTTTATTTTCAATCCCATCGAGTACAGGATCAAATATATATTATATATTATTATATTATATATGTATTATATATTATATATATATTATACATATTATATATATTATGATTCAATCACGTAAGTCACGGGGAGGAGAAAGCATACAGATTGTCAGTGTTGGGTTTCTGCATCAGATCGGATGTGAAATTTACCGTGGACACAAATTGGTTTGTTCATCCAGTGGTCCAGACGTGTGGTCAGAGAAGCTTAAGCGCACGAATTACTTTTGAGCACAAATAAGGGGGAGACGAATTCCCATCGCCTTTGTTGAAGCTAGCATACCTGAGCGAACATGTCTTGATAACCTTTGACAATCCTTTTTAGACTGTGGAACATCATCGTCTTATCCACCACGTCTTTTTTTCTCGGCTCGATGTGAAGCTAATGCGCTGGTAGGTAACTTATTGGTTTCAGTGTTCAGATATATAGGGTGGTTTTCACGGCTCCGATCGATAGATGCATATGTCCATTGTTCCACTAAATCAACTGAATGAATGAACACAACAAGCAGAACTTGGCATTTCATTCTCCAACCAAGAATCCACCATGCTCCTGAAAGCGCGAAACTGTGGCTTTTCAGCCAGAAGTGTTATGGACTGCTTACGACAATCCGAAAGCCTCATGTGGCCTACATATTATCACATATGGACTCAGAAGTGTGTGAAATATATATATGCACACATAATGCTTTTGCGGATGTCAGTGTTGAAAGTGAAGAAGAGATCTACCGACTTGTTCTCAACGCGTGCCCCTATAAGACTGTTTGTACGGTAATCCATTGTCCTCCTGACCAACCGTTCCGAATATCAGTCGCGTGAGGCTATCAGGAAATGAAGATCCCCCTTCATTGTATTTCCACTGAAAACCTTTTTAATTGTACCAAGCAATAATAAGGTTTATCTGCTATTTCGGTGAGACAAAGCTTAAGAAACGAATATTCCCGGATATACTGGCCTCTTCAGGCTAGCATTCCATGCAACGACCGTTTCATTGAACTACCTAATTTAAGACTGGGGCAAACATCAAAGTACAACACTTTGTTATTACTTCCTATTTTCATTGTAAATTCCACATTATATCGGGCCAAAGCAGAAAGATTATTGTCTACATATCGTGTATACAACAAACAGTTTTCCATGGTTTATTCAGCTTGATTATTTTCTAGTTTAGTCATTAACAAGATGTAAATACCGGCCCTAATGGTGATTCAACGACCGATTGAACTTGAACTAAGGCTAATACGTTGATAACATTTCTTTTTTTACAGCTGCATACGTATTCGATAGTTGCGTTACTATGCCTATCTCATACACATCTGAGCTCAGACTGTGTGCTAAACAAATCATGGGACAATTATCTTTATGAAAAGAAAAAGCTCCATGATTTGCTTAGGGGCGCGATACTGCCAGGTTGCCCAGGTCAAAGCAGTTGAATTTTCATGGGGAATTCACAATCAGATTTTCAGTTTCAGTTTGACCAGTCTAAGTTTGACCTACAAGGCAGCGGAACAGTGTGTGAAAACCGCAAAACATTGGGGCCAGTGTCGAGATCATCAGATTATACGCTTTTTGGATCTAGCTAAACGTCCAAGGTACCCAATACACCTCCATATCCGATTCCGCAGGTGACCACTACCACAACCACGGTGTTTGTGGTTGATACGCCTCCTCCTGGTTGGTTTGGA